CCCTCAGAAGCAAGAAGGGAGATAGGAGTCTGAATTAGTTGAAGTGAAGGAACACCAAAGTTTTGATATGCATTTTGGTCGAGTGAATGAGATTATTAGATTCCTGATTCTTTAAAGCAGATTTAGCAAGATACTCAGCTGAAACCAAGAAGCAGTATCAAGAAATTGCTGAACATCACACTGTAACTGTAAGGAGATAAAAGGATTGCTGAACTGCTACTGAAAGTGAAACAGTTTAAGGTGTGGAGGGCCTGAGGCAATCAGGAAGCGCTTCCTTTAGGCTGGCACAGTGCAAGCCCTAAAGCACATAACTGGAAACTACATACAGGTAGGACATGAGAATGCTCATTAAAAGAAACACCTGCAAGAGCAGAACAGAGCAGATCAAAGACTTGCAGCAGAGCAGTCAAGCACACATGCAGCTCCAACAAAGAAAACCCTACAATTCAGAGATAATATATTTTTAACCCAAACATTCTCATACCTCATTTTTCTGTTGCATGTCATCAGTCACTAACATACCAAACACTCACTGAAATGAAACTTTGCAACATCTTTGGGCACACAGGTCAGCCACCAAATTGAGCAGGTAGAGACTACTTGGGTCACCGAGGCAGTCAGGGCCTTCAGAAAATCAGCCACACAAAGACCTGAGATACCTGTGCCCCTCTGAGCTACCAGTAAAGTTTCTAGGGGTAAAAGGTGCCAACAGGAATGTTAGAGATGACAGTAACCCAGAATTACACTAAAAACAGCAGTGTCACTGGATTTTCAGCATGGAAACCAAAGTCAAAGAAGCAGGAGAGGGAAAAGTCAGGTTGTCTCACCTCGAAGTAGCATTTCCAAGTGGACAGATTTCAACTATTAGACTGCAGCCTTACTTTGCCTATCAGAAAGCATTAAGCCCTACAATTCCAGCCAATTTTCACTCACAGGAAGCAGTAAAGGTTGAAGTAGAGGGCTTTTCCACTAGAAAGAGCTTCTAGAATTATCAAATGAAGAGGAGAAATAAGAACAAAATTCGGTCATTTCAATTCTGATTGAACAGCATAGGAGCTTCTGACAATTTTCTAAAGAGTCTGCCAGTATTAGGGACAAGTCAGACTCTCAACTTGGATACAGCTAATGTCGTTCACTTGTTTAAGTGCATGAGGTTTTTGTTGTAGTAACTGTTGCATTTTTCTTTTGTTGCTTTAATTTTACCTTTCAGAAACAACCTAGGCTTGTTAAAGAATCTCTTCAGAGGACATTTTAGGATTGTTAGATAGAACATTTTGACAACAGTAAGACTAGATTCTGGAAAAACGGCCAGTGAGAAATTGATCAAAACTGATTACTGAAAGCTTGCTCTGTCTCCTTCCCATCTGAAAAGATTAGCTAGCCCCATCCCAAGATTTCTTACCACTTCTAGTTTCCGTTCTCTACCCTAGATTCAGGAGAACATGCATTTTCTATCATAATTGCATGGATTACTCTAATCAAATGAAATGAACTTTGCTTTATGCAGAGCCTTGGAAGTGCATCCGTCCATAGAAAGCAGGCAGAATTAATACAAGAATTGCTTGCAGAATTACAGCAGTGCCAGTACTCCAAAATCAAACACAGAATTGATGTGATATTCTGCTGTCACAAACCTCATGATATAGCCACCTTTCCACCACATAAAGGGTAACAGCATTCTAATTAAGAACTCAGGCCTTATGTTCAACAGAAGCAAACTAATGAATTGACTATGAAGATGCCATAAAGTGGGATGTGACTACGATATTTTGCCTCATGTATAACCTAGTGTCAGTAAACAATTTGTTTAATGCAGAAGTCACGTGGTGCAGGCTGCAGAGGAATTATAGCTGCTTGCATTTTAGAACTGTTGTGCCTCAACAGAATAACTATCTCACTGGCTATCATACAAGCCTGCGATACTGCTGCTGGAACCATAAACATATTCTCATTAGTGGCCCATGGCAATTTATATCAGAGAATAGCTTGTGTCACACCATAGACTGAAGAGCTGCTGCTGTGCAGCCAAATGTTAGCTTTTTTAAACAGATCTGTAACAATCTGGCTACTTTGTCATAACAAAAAACCTTCTCTGTGTAAAGACTGATACACAGGTATCCATTTTTATCTACGGTTTACAGAATCAAAGGGTCAAATTCCCACCGGTATCCTAAAGATAACTTGGAAAATTCCTAAATAATGCTTTGGATGCCTCCTGCCTGAGTTATCTGAATTTTGCTATACCTATTGTTCCTGAAGTAGCATTTAATAGCAACACAGGAGAGAAAAAAAAAAAAGAAAAAAAAAAAAAAAAAAACAACCAGAAAATTGGAAGCCTGTATCTACTTCCAAAGTTGAAGATAAATGTGCACAAAATATATTTCAAACTGCTTTTCAGTCTTCTCGAAAGACGACAAAACTAGGTCTCTCATAAGGATTTTCCCAACAATGCCTTATTATTGTGGAATAAACACTTAGGAGAAGCCCTGGCCTAACTCTTAGGGAACGTTTTGCTAAAGGAGGGGTCCGTAGTGAAGGACAGGCAGCTCTTCCTTGTCAGAAGTGAGAAATTAGTTTAATACACTGCACAAAAGAAAAACAGAAGGGAAGGAGAGATCCCCTCATTAAATGCTCACCATTTGAGCCCTGCTTAATATGTTGACTGATAACTAGTGTACGCAGTTGCAACAAGCAGAGGCCATTCCAAACAATGATGCCCATCTGTTATGGTAGCACTTTAGTCTTAGAACTTCCAGCTGCCACTTCTGGTTAGATGTGCGACATTATGCATAGTCTCGCGTACCAAATGAGTGCAGTCTGTACTCCCTGATCATGACTTTTGCAGCTTAAGTATCACCCTGCATGTGCACTAACTGGCTGAAGTCCTCGCAACAGAGTGAGTGAGCATGTGCGTGCATATGCACAGGAGAGAATCAAAAAGAATAAATCTACTTCCGAGAGGCTAATTTTGCTCTTTTATTTAGAGCAAGCATCGCAATGCACAAAGGCATCTTGCTTTCAATACCATAATACCAACAAAGCATCCAGTACAAATACCACTAGCATGTCAAGTTTGAAGAACATAGAAACAGCACTAAGAAGTTTAGGGGATGCTGCTGGACTTCATTCTGACTTTGTAACTTGGGTCATGCCAAGTGTCCTGTTTGGAAACTGGCACTGGGCACTGCTAACCCCAGCAAGTGGCCTCATTTGTTCTTTGGCCTACAGCATGAATGGCTTTTAAAAAAAAAAATCATCCCTTTCATCTGGAGAAGCACGAAGCCTACTTCACCACCACAGTAGTATCTAATAGTATGAACTTCGAAGTTCTGATCTGGAAATTCAAGTTTCCATCCTCCATCTAATAAAAACGCTTGCCAATGAACAGAGCTAACCAAAAGGAACAAGTGATCCTTCCTCCCTCCTGGTTATACATAAACATAGACAGGGTTACAAAGAGATCCATCTCAAAACTCAGTTCTGTTTGCGTGCCAAAGGGCCGCATGCTTTGGCCTGCAGGATACAGCACATAAGTGAACCACTGAACTCCTACAAGACTCCCGGTACGCCTGTGTGGAAAACTAAGCGTGTATGAAGGCTTCTGTAGGGCACAGCCTGGCAACCCCAGGACATTCAGGTACACTGAAGCATTCACGTAATGGTTTAGGCCAATGTAGGCTTCGCCTCTTGCAAAGGCTCCAAAGCAGGCTGTGCCACGGAGGTGGTTTGTGGTCTTCACAAACAGCCTGGGCTGATGGCCCCCTCAGCCACCACCACGCAGCATGCGGTTACTGCATATCTGTGGGATTGTGTTTGCAATACCAGCGTCCTGCAACAACAGGCTAGTAAGATGAAAGGAACGTGATCTAAGGCCACATTTGTTACCTGGTTTTCGTATTGCTTTTTCCTACTCATTTCAATTTTGGCCATTTCTTCGTCGGGATCCTGGAGGAACTAACAAAAAGAAACGCAGCAATTTAGGGGCAGGGGCTGCGGTTCAGCGCACCGCTCAGCCCCACGCCGTGCTTGAGCCCCGCCGGTCCCCGCGCCGTGACAGCCCCCCGCCCGCGTCCCGCGCCGCACATGGCCACCCCCCCACCCCCAACAAAAGGCCGCGGGAGCAGCGCCGGAGCGCCGGGCCCGCACCGCCCGCCAGGCCGTGCCGTGCCGCCTGCCGGGCCTGCACTCACCGTGGCCACATCGGCTTTCCTCTTGCGGGCCCGCACGGCCCCCTCGGCGCCCCCTTCCCCCTTGGCGGGAGCCCTCTCTTCCGCGCAGTCGCTGCCAAGAAAGGAGAAGCGTGAGGACCGGCCCTCGGGGAGCGTCCCCCGGCCTCACTAACGGAGAGCCGGCCCACCCGCGCGGCCGGACTCACCTCTCCCGCCGCATGCTGCCCGCGGGCACGAGCGGCAGCCGAGGGCCGCAGTCCCCACAAAGAGCCGCGAGGCGCGGAAAGGCCCCGCCGCCCCCCGCCCCACGCCGCGCCCCGGGACCGCGCGCTCTCGCACCCCGGAGCTCCCCGGCCAGAGCGCGGGCGCGGCGCTCGGTGCCCGCCCGACGGCGGCGGCGGGGCGCGGGGACGGGGCGGGGCGGGAGCGCGGCGCGGGCTGCGCGGGGCACCTCCTGCCTCACAGCGCGGCCGCTCCCGTCCCTGCGCACAGCGCGGCCCGCGCCGAGCGGGACATTTAAACGCGCGGCACGGGGCCGCCTCCCTCCCGCCCGCCCGCACACGTGGCCCCGCGCCCTGAGCCGGGGGCCGGCGCCCGGGCGGGGCGGGGTCTGCAGGGGTGCTCCGGCCGCCGGCGGCCCCGGGGAAGCGCGGGGCGCCGCGGGGCGCGGGATCCCACGGCGGGCCGCGGGGCGGGGCGGCGGGGCGGGGCCGGCGGCACCGGGCGGAAGCGGAGCGACGCGGGGGGGCGGGAGGGGAGCGGGCGGCCCCGGGCGCGACCCCGCGGCGGAGGGGTGAAGCGAGGTGAGCGGCGCGCCGACGGGAGAGGAAAGGAGAGCGGGACGGCCCCGGCGCGCCCCCGCGGGAGGTCAGGGGGCGGGCCCGCAGTCACACTCCGCCATGGCGCGGCCGCGGCTCTTCGAGCGGCTCCGGGCGGCGGTGCTCGGCGTGGTGCACGTGGGCGCGCTGCCAGGTGAGCGCGGGCCGGGCGAGACGCGGCGCCGCGGGACCCGCTCGTACGGCGGGCGGCCCGGCCGCGGGGGCCACAGGAGGGCCCCGCGAGCGGGGGAAGCGCCGAGCGGGCTGAGGGCTGCCGAGCTGGGCCGGGCCGCGCCGGCGGGGCGGAGCTGCACGGGCCCCGCGACTGCGGGAGCTCGGACACGTGGCTCCTTGCGGTTCTGCGCCCGGCTGGCGCTCCGCTGAGCCGGGGCTGAGTTGTCCCCGGGGCTGTGTGCCGGCCGGAAAGCTGTCCCGGTACGACATCACATAGGTATCCCTCGAGTCTGTGAATGACTTCACGAGTGAGCAGTCACGGCTGACCTGTACAGTTCAGGAAAGGGAAGAGGTGCCGCTGGGGTGCATCTCAAGGAGGTGCAGCAGCCTTTTAGGTGTTTTGCCCCCTATTTTTTCCCTATTTTTTTATGCCAATGCATTATGGTAAGCTGCCTTACCAGAAAACCATTACCATCTGTATGGTTTGCCTTTGCACTGGCGTAAATGGCACTGTTGTTGCAGGGACACCGAGAAGTTCTCTTCCCTTGGCGCAAATCATCGATCAAGCTTGTCAAGAAGCAGAAGCATACAAAGATGCTGGAGTTGTAAGTGCTGGCTTCCCTCTTCCCGTGGCAGTATTAACACAAAGCTGCTTCTGCATACCCAGTGGTTTGAATTGAGTCTGAGTGACCTAGAATTCATGAAAAGCACCTGAAACCACTGAGTTTGGGGAGACATTTAAACCTGCGTTTTTTATTTCAACACAAGTAGGCCTCAAAGTTTCAAAACCTGAATTAAACATCACACACACCCTGCAGAACTGGAAAAGCTTAGATTCAAACTGTGCAATTTGAGTTGTTTAAATAGGATTGCTATCAATTTACAAGAATCAAGTCAACAACAACAAAAACAGATGGAAAGCTGACAGCAATATGAACTGTTGCTGGCATTCTTGGTATCCGGATGTAGGATGCTTCATCATCTAGTCTGACAAGCTGCTTTCCTTAGCTCTGCTTGGCACACTGCTTTCATAAAGTCACGGCACAGGCATAGGCACTGCTTGCTTACAGGCTGCAGGATTCCCCCACAGTTTGTGTTTGTACTACAGTAGCATTATTTCAGGACCAAAAAATTATCTTGGGTCCTTTTCTGCCCACTGTAATCCTTGCGTCCTAGGCTGTGGGAGCAGCCATACCTGCTTTGAATATTCTCAGCCAGAGGCAAGAGAAGGCTACTGATGAACTGCCACTGCAGCTCTGAGCTGCGATTTTCTGCTAAACTTTGAGTAGATTTCCACTGGGTTATAATTCAGCAGCATAAATTACAATGATACTTTACAGATAGAATGAAATGGAACCTAAGAAGTTAGTCTAAATTATAGAAGACCAAGTTCAAAATGCAAGACAAGTCACATGATGGAGGCTGTGGACAGAGCAGTGGTTAGGAAAACCACTAAGTTGGGAAAGCCCTGGGAACAGCTGTTGAAAGGGTAAACAGCAGTGCAGAAGAACAGAGCTCATTGATGGGCTCCAGTGCCAGTGAACAAGCTGACAATGTGCAAGACATCTACCAGCTGGAGTAGTCTAACTGCAAGCTGGACAGAATAAGTCAGTTTTCTCCCTTTTCATACCTGCTGGAAGGGAAGAGTGCAATTGCTCTGCCTTCTGTACTGGTACATTCTGTCTTGCCTTCATGACATCAACATGAGGTTGGATGTGATTTGGTCTACATCAGAAGAACAGCAAGGACTAGTCTTCCTGTGTGGAAACACTTACACAGGTAATGTGCAGCCCTAGAGCCATTGCCCACATTCCAGTACTTGTTTATTTGTTTCCCTTATATACTAACCATACACTGATACCTTAGCAGCAGAGAGGAAACACTAACCATACCTAAATGTGAGGGAGAAGATAGAAGTGATCACTTTCGCTGCTGACATGGACAAGGTCTCAAGACAAACTTTAAAATCAGTGCTTCCACAAAATTCTAATTTGGGTTAGTATAAACCTTGCTGTCTTCTCAACTGATGTATAAATTCATGCTTCCAGCTTTACCTCTTTTCTTGCTGTATTGCAGTTACTCAGCTCGTATTTTTAAAGCCACCTCTTAGGTAGGCAAATGTGAGGTGAATGCAGTCATTTCTACTAATTTGAACAAATTCAGAAATAACTACATTGCCTCTCTAAACTGTAATGACATAAGCATACAGACCAAGCCAGTCTCCGTTCTAAAGATCCATACATGATATTGTTACATAAGTAGGAAAAATAAATCCTTTGTTAATACATAAAGGTCAAGATAAACAGGAGAGCTTCCACAAATATCCCTGTGGTTGCCAAACATTTTCTGTAATTCATTTGTGTAGTTTTTTCCAGCACTTTAAGAGAAGTGTGAATTTTGACAGTAGGTACTGAAGAGCTTTGTGGTTTCTACGCAGAGATCACCTCTCTTCCAGACTGGCTTTCCTGGTTCTGCAATGGGAGTATCTGATTTCCCTCCTACTACTCAGGCTGAACTGTGAAACTGTCCATTTTTTTCCCACAGAACTAGAAATCTGAGGGTTTTTTTTCTGTGGATGTTTCTGGCATTATTTCTAAGCACCTGTGGTAGCCTCTGGAAGATTCATAACTATGTTGCTGCTGCTAGATGTTCGCATGTTGCCTCAAGTTGCTTGAGCTGGCATTAACATTTGGAAATATACTGTATAGGCTTGCTCACTCAGTATGCATTGCACTTGGAAGTAAATCCTAGTTTGTTCAGGAAAAAGGTGACTGGGCTGGCATATTAGCAGCTGAACATAATAAACATGAAAGATTTGTGGTATTAGAGCACAGTAATGAAAACAAGCGAGAGCTCAGCTAGGAAACCATCTGTGCTAAAAATGTATATGCTTTGTACTTGTATTGCTAAACAATGACATTCCCTAGGCAAGATTTTTATAAGCAGCGATCTATGAGACATCGTGGTCCTTCCAATTTTTATCTGCTTTTGTTTAAGCAAAAAGCACTTGCAAAATATGCAGTGAAGTTAACTTTCACTCCTGCAAGTGAATCTAAGTAAATTTTGCTTTGTAGCTGGAAAACAGAGCATAAATTCCTTCCAGTTTCACTGATGTAACTCATCTTACTACATGCTATTTAATTGTAACTACATGAGTAGATAACAGTGATGAGTTGTATTTTTTCTTTAAGAAATACATTATTTACATAATGTTGCACTGCATTTCAAATATTACAAGTTTTTTAGTAGGCTTGCTTCTTTTTTTCTAGTAGATACAGTCTACTAGAGAGATTCCTGGAGATACAGTCATTCTCATCTTCCTGATTCTTCTTTTGCCTATGTACCTGCAAAGTGATGCTCAGTATCTGGTCTGTAAAAAGGTATTAAAAAGTAAGCAGTTCCAAGCCAAACTACCACTGTTGTTAATGTTAAGGCTATTTGGCATTTACTAGTAGTTGAAATAAGCTATCATTTCTGCTATAGAGACGTGCTATCATTTGGATTACGGAGGTTCAAATGTTAGCAGTAGAGTAAAATAGCAGGCAAGCCTCACCACAAATATCTCTTGTTATTTATACAGAAGAAAGTTGCCTACTTACCTAAGTTGAAGTAGCAATCTCTTGTTCTAGAAGTGAAGTTTTTATAGTGATTGTCTAAGTACAGCAAATAAATGCTTTGCAAAGCTGATTTCCTTCATATAGAGGTATATGACTCTGGTGGCAGGAGGAACTGTAGTTCTCAGTGCACACCAAGTTTATCAGCAATGAGCATGATGTGAAAAGCCTTTCTTTCTGTAGGAAGCAATAGTTGTTTTGCACTTGCAAAAATTATAGTAACACATAAGCAGCTGTGGGTAAAGCCTCTGTTATGCAGAGCATCAGGGTTAAAGTTACCATAGCAAGAAGCTATATCAGATAGGAGGTCAAGGTTTTTTAAGTGATCACTTCTGTAGATAGAATAAAGAAAATAGCTTTTCTATTTTATATAACATATGTTTATTGGAACAACATAACACAGTGGGGAGATGTTACAAAAGAAAGACGAGTGCTCACCTGTCTCCTAGTATCTAGAGTCACAGTAGGAACTCCACTGAGGAGGAATCTCCAACAAGAGATCCTTCCCCAGTGGCAGTCAGCCCTTCAATGAGGTCTAAGAGAGGTGCAGCCAGACTCCACTCCCTCCAGTCACACAACTGAATTGCCTTCACCTGTGCTCCCAAGGCTGACTGGGTCTTGTCTCCAGGTGCTCAATCAGTGGTTCAGACCATGACACAACAGTCTCTACATACGCCACCCCTTCACAGCATGAACCAATGATTAGATCAGCTGGAGGGTGAGCCTTCCCCAATACAAGGCTCTAACACACCACAGCACTCATAGAATTGCCTATCGTGATGCAGGTTGATACAACGTAAGATGGTTGATGATCAGTTTGTGATTAAAGTTCATGTTCTTTCATGGGCCAGTGCTCAATGGGTTCACTGGAGGCATACAGTAGACCAGGAAAGGTTTGGCTCACATTCCATCAGCCCCACGTGGCCCACCACCAGGTGTCATGCTGATCTTACAGTGACACCAGAGCATCTTGATGACACATTGCTTGCTTTTCTGGTGATCCTGCGGACTCAAAGAGACTCGTGGGGAGTACTATAGATGTTTTGGAGTTACCAGAAGGGGAAGGTCCACCTTTCATGGCAAGATACAGGACACGTTCCTATCCTGGTTCAACACTTCAGCTTGTACCAGGTCATGTCCCTGCAGTCTGTACCACACCCTTTGGCCCAATATCTGAGGCTGCATACCTATATCAGGTTCCAAAGGGGGAGTCTGGATTTGCCACAGGGATGTGATTAAGCTCCCTTTAGCAATGAAAACCAGAGTGTTGACTATAATGTCTGCAGGCCATGTACCTATTACGTGGGGGGGGGGGAGAAACTACCGACCCCCCAGTGTCCAATGATCTCCCCCAAGATGAAAGGACACCACACCATTTTGATCCTACTTGCAGCTTCCAAGGTCATTCTACTTTACAGGTGCCAGTTTCCAGGTTCTCAGGGCCAGGGAGCAGAAGATTATTTTCACTGCCAATTTTGAGTCTTACCCAATGATTGGTGCCTGTACCTGGGAGGCCCATGTTGTCTGTAGCATCTTTAGGGCACCAGGTCTGCCATCATTAAGCCTTTCATTCAGGTCTACAGGGTTTCATAGAGTCTCTTTGGCCATCCCTGCAAGAGTGGAGAGTCTGTCTTCAGGGTAACCTTAAGAATACCATTATGGTGTTCAATAAGGCCTGCCCCCATCAGGTTATGTGGCAGATGGAATTGCCAGTCACTGTTTTCTTCTGTCCAGCACTGTATTGTTGTACCAGAAAAATGAGTTCCTTGGTCACTCTTGATGATTTGAGATGTCCTGTAGGCAGCCATCAACTTGATGAGTGCCTTGATAGTATGTGCCTGCTTCACTGTTTTGTGACTAGGATGTCTTGACCTAAACCATAGAAATATTCTGCCATGCAGGATGGGGATTGAAAGATATTCCCAGTATCTCACAGGGGACCCCATTTTTCAACTGAAGTTGAAAGTCCATAATACACATATCCTAAAAATCCTGAAATACGCCCTGGCAGAGTTCTGTCTAAAGGGCAGAATTCTCCCCTGTAACCCACTTAAAGATATTCAGTAGAACAGCTATTTCAAATATTTTAATCTGACTGGCTTGCCAAACGTAACAGTAGAGGGACCAGCATGATGGGAAGATGTTATAAAGATGTAGCAGCAAAGGATCAGTGCAATACTACGAAAGACAGAAGTGCTCACCTGCCTTTGAAGATCTAAGCTTGCAGTACGAACTCCACAGAGAAGGAATCTCCAACACAAAAATTGTCCCCAGTGGCAGTCAGCCCTTAAATGAGGTCTAAGAGTGGTACAGCCAGGCTCCACCTCTTCCAGTCACACAGCTGAATTGCCTTCACTTGTGCTCCCCGGGCTGACAGGGTCTCATCTCCAGGTGCTCAATCAGTGATTCAGGCCGTGTCTCAACAGTTCCCATACATACTACATAAGTAGTTTTTCTTTGTAGGCAAGGGGCTATTTAAATGACTTGTTTTCCAATAGCTAGCTATGTTACAAGGATGCTTTGCAGATAGATAGCAGTCTATTACCTTTCACTTCTATAGTGTTTGAGGACTGTTAAAAGTAGGGCTACTTTATATAAAAGTATCACTTCAATTGTTCTGATAATCAATGGAAAAGAAACCCAGAAGATTTTGCTGGTGCCTTATTTCCCATGTTCCAAAGAGATTCCACTTTGGAGCACGTAGTTCGGTCGCTGTTTTCCTAGACTTAAATACTATTAGCTTAAGTGCCAAGATCTTGAATCCAGCATCACTGTTTTCTTTCCACCATTTTAATTAACTGTCTGATAGTACTGAAGTCTGTTTTATATACATATAAATTCAGTAAACACCAGAATCTGTGGTGTTACATTTTTATACAAAAATATGAAAGAAAGCTTTGAGTTAACGCATCTGTAATTCAGCTTTCTGTATTACAGAACATATGTTGTTCTTTTTTTTTTTTTTAATTAAACAAAACATAATGTGCAAAGGAACAAGGTCTATTAGATGGTACTAAAAGAATAACACATTATTAAAGTAATACCAAAAATAGTCACAGGAACTGTGGACCTTGAGGCTATGAAAAGAGAGCTATTGAAAAGTGAATAAATACAAGGTTGAAGAGAAAAATGCTGGAATCCTCCTGCACGTTGAACAGGAATTCAATCAGATGCTTGTCTTATGTACAGTAATATGGCTAGAGTCCCTAATTACTTTTAAAATAATTGTATTTTTAATATAATGGAATAATTTGCTTTATGCAAATGCTGAGCTGTTGAATCAGCAACAATTCATGGAAAGCTCAGTGTTGCTGTGATGCTGCCATGGGATTCTGCCACTGTGTTCCCTGCTTGGTCAGGAGCACCCCATGGCCTTTTCCAGGAGCTGTGTTCCTGTCAGGACTGCTTCTGCTCTGCCAGGAGGCCTGGTGCTCTCCTGGCTGCTCCTCATGAGCCCACAGTGTGCCCAGGTGGCCAAGAAGGCCAATGGCATCCTGGCTTGCATCAGAAACAGAGTTGCAAGCAGGAGCAGAGAGGTGATTGTTCCTCTGTATTCAGCACTGGTGAGGCCGCACCTCGAGTACTGTGTCCAGTTTTGAGCCCCTCACTGCAAGAAAGACATTGAGGCCCTGGAACGTGTTCAAAGGAGGGCAACAAAGCTGGTGAGGGGTCTGGAACACAGGGCTGATGAGGAGAGGCTGAAGGAGCTGGGAATGTTCAGCCAGGAGAAGAGGAGGCTCAGGGGAGACCTCACTGCTCTCTATAACTTCCTGAAGGGAGGCTGCAGTGAGCTGGGGGTCGGCCTCTTCTCTCGTGTCATCAGTGATAGGACCAGGGGGAATGGCTTCAAGCTGCGGCAGGGGAGATTCAGGCTGGACATTAGGAAGTATTACTTTTCAGAAAGGGTGGCCAGGCACTGGAACGGATGCCCAGGGAGGTGGTGGAATCACCGAGCCTGGGGGTGTTCAAGGAAAGGCTGGATGTTGTGTTGAGGGACATGGTTTAGTGGGAGCTATTGGGAATAGGTGAACGGTTGGACTGGGTGATCTTTTAGGTCTTTTCCAACCTTGGTGATTCTATGATTCTATGATTCTATGTAATATCCTCTGCCCACTTGAGGTTTCTTGGACTGAAATTTTATATTAAGATGTGCTGATGAGTGGCAGAAATATTATGTAGCTCTCATGTTAGGTGCTCATAATATTAGACCACATTTCCCATTAATAAACTGTGTCCATTTGTTTTTAAGATAGCACATATTTTGTGTATTTAAATGCTTATCTACTGGTTATTTGGTGAAGGCTGTTGTGCCCAGGTACACCCAGTGTGCATCCCTCATGTAACTGGATTGGCTGTACTCTTCTGACAGATTACTGGCAGTCTGTTTCCTCTCCCCCATCTTCCATGTTGGGGGTTCATTTATGATGCCTGTGGCATGTAATTCGGCCGTTAAATGGTGACTGCTTTTTGTACACTTTAAAAAGGAAAGATGCCCAAAAGAGCATCTGTACTACAACAAAGCTCAAAGGAGCATTTCATCTAGGATTTTTTTAAAGAAAACCTTTTTCTCCCCATCTTCCTGATTCTCTGTTATCGATTACTTAAAAAAAAAAAATCATCTCCTTGTAATTGATTTCTTCTAATTTCTTTTAAAATGTTCTTTCTATTCTGAATGTTAGACTGCCTTTGAAATGCACTGCTCTCATTTTAAGGATTTTGATGTGTGTTTGAAGTTGAGAGAGAATAGAATTTGTTTTCTTTACATACAATTAATTTGTCTTATAACCTTTTTGTATTTTTCAATTGAAGCAGGTGAGAAATGTCTAGCCTCATAGAAAGTTCCCACTGCAAATGCAAAATGTCAGGCTTGAAATATGTTTCAGGGCTGTACTTTTACTTTTGTGTTAGTCCTCAACGTAATTATATGATTTGCAATTGTTGAGAAGTTCTAGTATATACCAAATCACCATTGAAAATGTCCAAGGCACCAGATGATGTACAAAGATTTTCAATAAATTGCATCCACTCTATCAGTAGTCTATCAGTAGAGTATTTCATTGTCACTCCATTGTTTGCTAAATGTATGTTCTTGTGGAGGGAGAGGTATAGTTGACAATAAATAGCAATAGCTTTCTTCAAAGCAGTCTGAATTTGGAATGGGAAGAAATATGTCACCCTGGGAACAGGCATGTTAATAGGCAAACAAACAAACAAACCTCCTTTATTTTTCTAAAATAACACTTATTTTCTGACATTAATTCAAATTGAAAATTGCCTTGATTATCTCTACATCATCAGTTATCCAAACATACTCAATATCCCATATTCCATTTGGGTAATTGAAGTTTGACTCTGCAATACTTTTAATGAGGTGTAAGATTTAACTCATTCGCCTATAGTTCACGTCCTGGGATGGATCAAAGGAAAACTAATTGATGAATGTATAATTAAAATCACATTTATTTCTCTTCCTGATTTCTCTGCAAATGCCGTGCTGTTGATGAAAGCACTTTTATAAGTGGCTATATGCATCGACACAATTTACTGGAGATAATCCGCCCTTTGAAGGAAAACCTTTAAACTTCTGTGTCTTTCAACACAAAACTTAGCGCCGCAGTAAACTTCCTTATTCTGATCTCTGCAGGATGGCTTGATAGTGGAGAACATGCACGACCGGCCCTACACGCTGTGCCCTGGGCCTGAGGTGACGGCCGCCATGACGGCGGTGGGCGCAGCGGTGCGGCGGCTCTGCCCACACCTCGCCTTGGGCGTCCAGGTGCTGTGTGCCGCCAACCAGCAGGCCACGGCCGTGGCTCTCGCGGCAGGTAATAGAAATGACTCCTCCGTTATTACTGCTGTTTGCCGTGGCATTTACTCTCTGCAAATTGGGCATTGTACTAACATAGATACCATGAAAAATGAGACATGAAAAGCTCACTGTACCCTGAAAAAGCAGAAATTAGATTTTGAGAAAGATGCCTGCTTGATTATAATAGATGATACTCGCACGGTGCTTCAGTAGGAGGCAGCTTAAAAATCCCAAGGCCACTGGCGCTGCTTTCTAGGTGAAACCTGTCTAACTGTAATGATTAGTTTAAACCTACTCATGTCTAAGAGCCACCTTTGATGTAACTCTATTTACTTCGGTTAAACGATATTTGAAGATTAATTTAACCCGCTGTGGTTAAGCATCCTTTTCAGCATCTAATTATATGTTGTTGCTGCTACTGGTTTCTATTAAAACTAAGTTTTCATTGCCTTTTTTTTTTATGAATGAATGGAATGAAGCTTTCTGTTAATTTTTTTAAGTGCATAGCTACCCAAACTACTGAACATTAAATTGCATTCAGGGAAATTAAGTACAAATTAATTTATCATTACTGCAAGAATACTAGATTTGCTAACCCTTCAGTTTCTAAGCTTTGCCGGAACAATTTTAGTTTTCATTCCCTGATCAAAAGATAGAGACTGATGTAATAGGGAACGCTCCTACTTTCCAAATCCTTCAGAAATTGAGAGTCTATGTTTACCCAAATTGCAAATGCAACTGTAGTGAGGTTGGACACTTTGTAAATTTTACAGGTTTTCTAAATAGGCAACGTTCGGTAAGAATGAAAAATCAAAAGATGCTTGTGCTATATGGAAAAAATTCAGTTAAAATAACATTGAGTAACACTCATTTTTCTTGGGGGAATTTCTATTTGTTGTTACGTTTTGCACATGGATTTGGTTTGAGTGCCTTAGAATCAGAAGCTGACACTTTCAAGGTATACTTGAAGGCTACTTGGCAAACCAACACAGCACACTATTTCTGCTGTGGAGACCATGTGAATAGTTAAGCCAAAAAAGATGACAGAACCCAGTTTTGCTTTTGTTTTCAGGGATTGTATGCATGTAGGATACTTGAGATGCACTGTATTTACACACCTTACTTTTAAAAGTAATAGCTATGCTTCCTTTTAGGAGTGAAATTGATCACTGTATATGGGATGTAATGCAAGAGCAATGAGTTTCTCTTACTCCTCAGCAATTATTAATGAGTGAGAGAATTCCTGAAGGGCTTGGGTTTTGCTCTGCTCTTCTGCTGTTCTGCACTATTTGCTCTGTAACTGGAGGACAGAAGCTAGGAAAAGCCTGTGTTTAATGCATTTCATTGCACTTCTCTAAAAATGATTCTCAGGCTCACTGAGCAGGAAAGCAGAAAGAAAAGAAAATCACTTTAGGCAAAGCAATAGTAAAGGGACTGACTCTGTAGGTAGAAAATCTTTGAATAGTTTTTCTGTAGCAACCTAGTAGTGACTTTAATATGAATGCCATTTTAGTTGTCATTAAAGATAGCTATTAATTAAGGAATCCTCATATGCTTCAACTACAAAATATTTGCTGAATGTGTTACACTTAAAAAGCATATGGAGTATTTTCTGCTACTATGCAGTCGTTTCATTTTCCCTATGGAAACTCCTGTCTCTGGTAGAAATAACTTCAGAAGAGAACTGCACAGGGAAACCGTAAGTGGTCTTCAAGTGTAGGTAATGATTTTATATTGTAAAGAGAGGGGGAAGAAGTCAGCAATTTTATGGTGTGACTGAAAGGAACTCCTCAGCAATGTGTGTTTGTGCTGATAAGTATGTTTTGTAGTAACTGATTAAAATACTAAATTTTCCCAATGTATTGATATGGTACTGTTATCAGATTTATACAATAATAAAATCAGGGGATGAGAAGGCTGAGTTTTTGTGTTTGTTTTTTTTTAATCTCAAGCACTTATTTTTGGGAAAGTGCACCACCTTAATAGCTGCTTCTAATGGCATCCTCCAAAGACTGTATTATCTTCTTTCTTTCCTATTCCCTGAAACTGAACAGAAAGCAGAATTTGTGTGGTAGGGTTACTTCTTTCAATCAGTACATTATTTACAGGTGTACTGTGTGGTTTATAGAAGAGCATTATTTCCTGTTTGTAGTTTCTTATTTAATTACTACATCTGCTTTAGGTTGAAAAAGAATGATGTAGCCAAACAGATCCTGTCAGCAATTGTAGAAGAGATAGAAATGCTCCCTTACTCGTTTTTGTTTAGCAAATGTTACTGGTTATTATTGTTCAGTGCTCAGGAATGTTCACTAAGCCCGGGTCAGATCTGGATATCTTATTAGGTTTCCCTTACTTATTTATCAGTGTGTCTTGTTTTCTGAAGTAAACCACTGTTTATGCTTGGGCTGTCTACTGAATTTCATGTCCTCATGCTCTGTTGTTGACCTACTTCCACACTACATGGCTTTTCTTTTATCGAAAGTTTGTTAATTATGAAGCAGTAGTCATCTTAGAGAGGACTGTTGTGTCTAAAGGAATCATCCAAAGGCCCTCAGCTGCTATCTGCCGTTTTCCTTGCATTAGTGAGACCATGCATGGCTCCAATCCATCAGTGTATGTCTTCGCAGAGGAGCTACAGAGCCTTTACAATACTGGGGGTATACACCAATAACAGTCTCTATATTCTTTTGCAACTCTGTGTGCTTCCATTACAAACACGTAGTAGTAGTGACTGAAAGAAGGAAGTGGCCCATCATTAAGCTAATGGAGACAGACACGGCCTGCAGGGGCTACTATACAGTGCAGCAGTGTCCATGTACCTGCACCAGCCAGTTTTACACTTCATGAATGAGAACTCAATTTCTAACAGTTTATCTCCTGCCATCTCCAGCTGACTGTGAAAATGCCCTTTTTCTTTAAGGATCCTTTTACTGAAATCCCACGCGGTCACTGTTTCTTAATTAGTCTTCTGTAATGATAATGACTCAGTTGGTAGCTGATTAAACAAGGCTTCATATCAGAAGATATTCCAGGTACCAGATATCTCCAGGTCTTTTATAAATACAGCTTTGCTGTCTGAGACAGCTCTTCTCTTGCAACCACCCACCAGCAGAGATGCTCCACAGGAAGGTGTGGCCAGTGATACTGTTTAAAATAGGATAGAATTGGCTGGAAAAATATGCTGATTTTTAGTTACATATTTTTTTCAACTAATGCCATTCTAATACGGCTAAACTGAAGTTCAGCAGGTGAGTGCTTATTTGGGGGACACCTGCGGGTGCTGCAGGACAAGGCAGCAAGCACTGGAACTTTTGCAGAGATGAGATGACAAATATGTGCTGAAAGCACTGTTGGAGACACTGCTTTTTCCAGGCCTCGAACTCTTGCTTGTGGAATGAGCTGCTTCTCAACTTAATCTTGAAGCTCTGTTTGGTAGGTCCTATTGGAAATTTCCTGTACCTGTTTTTTAGTGAAATTACATGATATTTTTTTTTGTTCCCGTGTAAGTCAGAAATGAGACTGCCTTGTAACTATTTAGCAGGTATTCCTTTTTGACTTACTTAATGGGAAAATAAGAAATAATACTATTTTCACAGTTTTAGTGAATTCATTAATGGAATCCAATTAGGTCTTCATAAAACAGGCAGGTAATGATTTGGTGTCTACTAGAATTGGTTAAAAATAGTATCTCGTTATCCCCCAAAAACTCCAATAGTGTGCAACTCTGTTAAACTAAGAACAATCCTGATGTTGGTCGAGGAAGTCTTGAATTCTTAAGTTAAGGAAGTACAAACCAAACATTGGTAAACACGCGAGTGGTGAGCTTCAGTAGGTGAATAGCCCTTGTCCTGAGGTAGCCAGTAGGATTGCTATGAACATTTATTAGATTTCTAGGGTGCTTGATAGTCTTGTGATTAGAGGAGAATTATTGTTTTTCTTATTTAAGTCTGATTTATACTACAAACTTAGGTGATTTGATAAAGCCTATGGCTAATATTCCTAGATGCACAAGTCTCAGTCTTACCTACTAGCACCTTTAATTATACTTGTGACATATTTGTGTCTTTGAATCCCGAGAATACTCCATGCTTTCTCACCTGCTAATCTCAAGGCATAGGACAGCTTATATTTGAGTTGGCACCATCTGTGATGTATCATGTTAGCTGCAGTCTGTGTTGCTAAGCAATACAGGCTCTTTTCCATCAGGCATAACCTTTTGTTTCTGCAACTTCAGGGCTTTTGGAATGAAACTGAAATCTAGCTCTTAAAATAAACAGGAACCTTGTCATTTGGTAAATACATTTTTAAAAGCCCTTTCTGTTTACGTCTGCAATGTGTTGAGGTGAGGCCTTCCTTGCCTAAATAGTTTTCTGTTAGATGGAATTGCATCCCTGAACACTGCTCTCACATGCATTTAGTTCCTTGATGTTTCCACTCCACTTAAATGTGCAGCTGACTCAAAGCTGGAGAAGCAACAGAACTTCAAAGAGCCTGGAAGGGAGCTCTAAAGCAAACTGGAAGAATAGCAAAAGCTGCACAAGGTGTTTGCAGAGCATTTTCACATCCTAAAGGGTGTGTGAAGTAAGCTTCAAGGCTGTGGAAGACTGGAGAGGAAAGGGATACAGTAAGGGAGTCAGAATTGTCATCTTTTGCAAAACAGCTGTGGATTAATTATACTGTGGCTGAAGACATCAGTATGTCAACATAAAGGTATTTCAAGGCTGTATAGGGGTACCTTATAGTAGATAAATGGTCCATCAAAATCATTTCTGTTCTCAGTCTTCCTTTGAAGTACCCATCGCCCAAAAGCTTCCTGATACAAAAGATGAATGACTGCAGGACACTGAGTTTCTGAGACAAGGTAGAGTTGATGCTCACCGTAAATTTGGAGTGGAAACTTAATCTTTCTGTATCTTTGACCCAGCTCCAAAAGTCAGTCGTTGATGTGGTACTGTTCAGAAGATGTAAGTCGCATTCAGGTGGAGAGTCAATGTTTATAATGTATTGCAGGCTGTGTTTTCCTGCCTAATTTCCTGAAAAAGGAAGACATAGGCTATTCTCTTCTCTTTGTCCATGTCCTGGTTGCTTTTTGACCTGTTGTCCAATTTCAGGCATATTTAACAGTGGAACAGATGTTGGGAAGGCAGTAATACAGTGATGGGGTATCTAACAGAGGGGCAAAACCCAAGATAATGCCCTTTTTGGAGAGAAGCCGCACCGTTAGAGGATAGGAGCTACGTTTTGGCCTACCTATCCTTCATTCATACTTGCCTACTGGCACATCACAGCAAGCAGGAGGGCAGGGTGTGCTGTTGCTGAGTCTGTGCCCATGGGTACAAAAGTTTAAAAATGTGAGAAATCAAGGTTGATTAGTCTCAGAGAACATGGAACGTCTTGTGTGGAGGTCAAATGAGGGACAGATATTTTAGTATTAGTTCTTCAGGCTTCAGGTCTAGTTAAGAGAATGCTAATTTTTTCTTTTCTTTTATCAGGTCTTGATTTTATTCGAGTTGAAGGTTTTGTGTTTTCTCATGTTGCTGATGAAGGGATCATAAATGCCTGTGCAGGTAACCTGCTACGATATAGAAAACTAATTGGAGCAGAGCATATTCAGATTTTTGCTGACATTAAAAAAAAACACAGGTAAACACAAGCAATATTTATGTAAATATTAATGTCATAATGATCTTATGCTTTTCCCCATTTTCTGATTATTTTATATCTGCTCAATGCCAGCAAAGTTAATGATAAAGGGAGAACTTTATTGTCTGAGCAAGGTCTTGCAGAGCTATTAGGGGATATGTTTAAAAATAAATTTGCACCTGTAAGCCGCAGGTTGCCGCATCTGTGAAGTTTGTAGTTTAACCTTCAGGATTTATAAATGCAGACTGTAAATGTCTCACATCTGGTGTCAGGTGAGGTTTTACATCCTTATATGCCTATTACGCTTAAAGGAATTATGTTTCGGGAGGCTAAGCATCCAAGGTTATTTTTAGTAATGCAGCAGTTTCCACATACAAAGGATCCAAATCATAATATTCTGGTGCTTTAGAAAGCTATTCTCTTTTTTCTCCTGGCTGCCAATAGTACTGCTTTCTTCCACTTAAATCAGTGCTGTCTACGTACGGATTATGTTCTATGATTATCAAACAGAAGGAACTTTTGACAGATGAACCCAGTTTCTTTTTTGCTGATATCTTTACTGTCACACAGTATTTTTAGCTATTTATATGTCACTTTTTTTTCCTAAAGAACTGTTCAAGTGTTATGTATTATACATGCTAAATAACCTAATTAAAATGTTTGCATGTAGTATGTAGGTAACCATGAAAACAACCATGTTGGGAAGATCATAAATATCTGTGTTTTTGTGGTGTTGTTTTTTTTTAAATAACTTTCAAGATAGGTAAAGAAACAATGCATTATGATAACATTAAACTTTTAAGGTCCTTTCAGATTGGTTTATTTCTAATGACTTCAATTCTTTTATATATATGTGTGTGTATATGTAAAAGACACTCCATTAGACTTCTTCATAAAAATTGATGATTCTATCATGTGGTCTTTCCTTTGTCTTCTCAGTTGATAGACTTATATTTTGATTATATACTTTGTAGGTGAAAGGATTTGCTTTTTAAAGTGGAAGGTTTTTGCTACAAGGAGATTCCAAAGCTGAAACGATGTTAAGAGCCACATTTCCAACTCACGTTATGTATTAGGGACTTAGGCCTGCCTTCCTCCAGCTATATAAAGGGAATGCTTTGTCTTGCACCATCATCACTAGTGAAAAGCACTGCAGTCAGTGCATTCTGCCTCTTACTGTAGGGATCCAAGTCCATCCACACTGACCCAGGAAAGAGGAAGACTGTCACACCTCATCAGTGCAATGGGTTGACCATAGCTGTTGTTGCTTCTGCATTTTCAATTAAGCAGAAAGCAAAGTCAGATGCTGAACCAGCAGAGAAGTTCTAAATCCTTTCAAACTTTAGAATTGTTTAAATTAAATTACTATTGCTGTAGGTTTCAAAGCATATCACCCATTATCAAAAGCTGCTGTTGAAAAGCTAGGCTGCAGGTAATTTATGTTTGTAATTGCTATGTAAGGTGATTCCTGTGATTATGTTATAGGTAATAACTATACTTCTGTTAGTTGGACTTTGTGAAATGAAGTGAAGGATGTTAATTCCATTCTGGGTAACAGAACGTGATTTATGAATGACTGAGCCATCCGCTGCTCCCACTTGAAGTCAGAGAGCTGTGTATGAGATACAAGTGCTCGACATGCACACAGCTGTCTGAATTGACACTTGGTAGTTCACCCTTAGCAATCGCTCTTTAGAGACAGAAGACCAAGAGCAGTGGATTGAGCAGTTATAGCTCTGCGATGGATAAGGTTGGGTCTCTTTCCCCTTGTTGGCATTGTAAAGTTACTTCCCATTTTAAAACGGGACCCTTACCTTCTCACTCACAAAGCCTGATTTTCGGTGTTCTGATAGTGAGGAAAATGAAGAAATGCCCAAATAAACATTGATCAATATGTGTGTGCTGAAAGTAACCGCGGGGTACGTTGTGCTGTTGACAGCGCTCATGCCCTGACGGCAGATGTCAGCGTGGCTGAGACCGCCTCTGCTGCTGAGCTCTTCCTGGCTGATGGGGTGGTACTGACTGGTACGGCAACCGGGCTGCCTGCAGACCCTGGGGAGCTGAGAGGTGAGCGGACACACCAGGAGCATGCAGCAGGCCCTGAGTCAGCTTCTGGCTATACATCTCTGTATGTGCTATTCCTTAACGAGAAAAAAAAAGGAAGAAAAATGTTCTTTCATTGCAGAGTTTGATTGGATAAAGCAAAACTGATGTGACTGAGGTTCTATGTGGATTGTCTGTTTTAAGTTTCTAACCAACTGTTTGATGGGACATAAATTATTTCAAGCCTTTATAATACTGAATGATACTTAGTATTACTTTAAAATAAATAAAGCAAATGAATGTGAAGACTTTGTTTTAGAAATTGATACTTTTTAATATCTTAGTATAAGAAAAAGCAATTTCATAGACCTAATAAAAATAGCTAGCTAAAAGTGCTCAACTCTTCAGTGGAAAGATTTATATTTTTCGGAAAGAAAATGAAAGTCCTGCAAGAGAAGGGTTATTATGATATGGCACCGTTCCAGACAGTAATAGCAGGGGAAACTTAGGTTTTAAAAAAAAATTCTAAGTTTGTTGGTACAAAGGAAGATATGACATCAAAGTCATCAAACTTGATTGTTCACATGCTATCATGAAAATTCAAATTTTCATCACTAAATTTCAATTCAGTTTCATGGCTTGAATGTCAAGGCTTGTCTACATAAAATAGAATGTGTACTTTTTAGGTTTTACTTCTGCTGGCACAAAACAATCTAGCGTATTTTGAAGCGCCAGTGTGTTCAGCTCAGTCTATCAAGGTGAACTCTAAGCTCAGTGACTGTGCATCAAAGTATGTCTGTTTGTCTAACCTCGAATTCTTAAAACATGCTTGCTGAAATGAAGCCAAAGGAAGTATCACTTCTTGTATAGACAAATCAAAAGCTCTATTGGACTTCTATGAACAATTTTTGTTTCAAGTTGCTGTCCTACTGGGGGATCAAAATGCAGAAATAATTATTGCATGTTTGGTCAAAGTTAAATGATAGTACTTTTTGGCAAAATATTTTTTTCATAAAGAAAAATAGCAGTATGATCTCTACTTTTTTAAAGTATATTCTTCTCTAAACCATTCAATCACAATTCCTTCTTTATTTTACAAAAGAAGGAGGTGAATAACAAACATGCTCTACTTGGTATAGAGACCAGCACCCCAAACATCTCTTGGAATAATTTAAAATCATTGCATTTTTTCAGGGCTTTATCCATATTGTATGTGCTTATCAGCATTCAGAATGCTGAACTTGTCAAAATGTTTTGCTTATTTCACATGTGTTTACAACACAACTTTTTTGCCAAAGAACAGGTGATAGATGACTATGCTTCAGTCACCAATGTTAAAATGAAAGTGGTGGTTTGTAGTGAATACAAGTTGAATTTGTTTGAGTGTTTGATAAGGTGAACTGGAAGTGATTCATAGAACAAAGCACCCTGAAAGGCTGCAAGAGAAAAAGACCGAAAGAGACTGCAAAATATTGTTAATCTGAAGATCCACCTCTGCCTGCAATGCATACCACTGTATATCCCTATTTCTCAGTGCAGATTACGTTAAAATAAGTAAATAAAAGCTGACAAATCTCAGGGCAGAATAGTAGCTTAAGTTCTGCTTTCCAGCATGCATGTGTGGCCTCCTCTCATGCCCTGCACTGGAGGGCACCAGATGAGCTGCAGGCCTGCAGGCTGCTCTCAGGCAGGACTCCAAGCAGGCCTCACCACTGCCTTTCCTGCATGTGAACCAGTGTGCCAGTCACAGCCTTATTCCTTTTCTGAGTCCAAGGAACAAAATGAATCAGAGTTGTCAGCGGTGATGATGTGCACACATCGATTCTTTACGTGTGTAGTGAAGGCAAGAACCTGGATCATGGGTTTGGTTTACTTAGGCCACAGAATTCAGGCATTATCTGCGCCACTCAGGAGAACAGTGGCTTAACACAGTTAAGAGAAGAGCTTAAAAATCAACACTCAGTAGTGTGAGGAAATGACAAATTAGGCATATCTATGTCAGTATATTCTTAAAAGGAATCACTTGTACAAAGTTGGTGTGATGTGAGTGAAATTCGGCAGTTCACGAATGTATGCAGCACCGGATGAGTCGTACTGTGATCATACAGCTGGGCACCTTTCATCATGCTGCAAAGCAACTCTTGAACGACAAACCAAGAGACAGATGAGGTTTTGTCACGTTTTTTTTTTCTCAGCTTTGTTGTGCAGTAATATAGAAGTGTTTTTGCCTTTGTGTCTGTGTGTTGAATTGACTGACTTGTGATGGGATGTGGGAAATGAGTGTTTCTCTGTCAAGCCAGAGAAATGTGTTCGGCAGGGTTTTGTTTGTAGTTTCTTTCGCTGCCTTCCTGAAGGCACCTGTGGTGCTACTCCCAGCCACACGCTGTCAGGCTTTCCTGCTGGGAAAATGCTGAAGTACCTGGTTGAAATCCAGCTTGTGATTTGAGTGACCACAGCCTTTGCATAAGGACTGCCTAGGTATCTTTATGAACAAAGTAAATGGCCTCAGCTGAGCAACTGGTGGAAAATATCACAAAGCCCGGCAGCTGGCTCCGTTACCTCATCTGTTAGTGTGCATAGAAGGGGTGTCAAAACTGATTCATCCTCCCGCTTTTTAATGGACTGTTTAGGTCAAAATAGAGGCTGCTGCCTTTGCAGTGCTCTCCTATAGATAATCAGGAGATGCAAGTCTCTGGTCTGTACTTTTCATAATCCCGAAATTTAATGACAGAGAAAAAGTCCTTTGAATTAAAAAACTAAAATGGGTTACAGTGGAACATTACCATAAACATAGTGTTGTGTATGGTACAGTGATTACTGCATATGAAAAAGCTGTTAAAGAAGAGTAGTGGAGCAAGTTATTAGCACAGTGGTACTTATTTTTACGCCGCTCTTTGCCATTGTTTTCAAGCTAGGAGCATTTGGCCTTTATTTCATGTAACTTGTGCACACCGTAGTTCAAATGCTTTCATTGTGCTCTGCAACCAAGTGCTATTTCATTTGATTTTATTGAAGACATATCTGCAGATGCACTGTCAGAAGAAAGAGCACAGTGCCCTCTAGTTACAGTTTATTGATATAGAAAAATGTGTGAGTTCTGTAAACTTCAGCATCTTCTTACTTTAACATCAGAAAATTGTTTCCCTTCCTGTTTGCATCAAACAATATAATCAGGAGAAGAAAGCTGAAGGAGCCTTTAAACAAGGCTCTGTGTTTAGAGGCATTTTGACAGTGACTGAACGTCACCATGCAGAAGCATATCTCACCACTGTTGCTTTATTTTCTTTTACAAGTTAGAATTTGTATTAACACAGCCGGTAGACAAGTCATATTCTATTCATCATCTGCAGGCCTTGATATGCTTGGAAACGACTTAAAAGTAGTATCTGTAGCATGTTTAATTAGATAACCCAGTCTCATTGTATGGTGGGCACTCCCATTCCTGTTCTTCACATTGACAGTCTGAATAAATCTCCAGCACAAGAGCTGTGTGTGGGCTGCATGTGTCATGCATGGATCACAGCAGGAGCTGCATACCTTGCTACTTTTGAAAGCTTCATCATTTTTAGTTATCTTATAGTTTTGCAGCAGTCTTAGGTTCTGCTGTTCAAGTCTTTGTTAGGGCAGAGCTATTATCATACACCCATGGGATCATGCTCTGTTTAATTATTTGGCTCTTCATTTTTCCTGCTGATGTGAAATAATTGTAGAGCAACTGCCTACTAATGTACCTTATGCATTTGTCTTAAAAACAAATATTGACTTGGAATGTTGTTCCTCTGGGAATGCAGTAAAGATGTTTTACGAATCTGTGGTCAGTTGTAGCACCTTAATTATGCATTGGTATCTACATAGATCAGATTGAATATTTCGAAGAGCACAGAGATACTATATACATAGAATTCTATTTTTTCCTAGGACAGGATTTCATTAATAATGTTATAAATAACAAAAAATGAATTATTTCATTGCTGTAAGGAGGATGAATTTAGAAATATAAAATATGTGAAGAAATAGGCATCATTTTAATCATATATGTGCTATCTTGCTTTGCTTAAAATTTTCAACAGGCGTTGTGTGGATTTTCTTCTTTTATGTTAAAAAATGTTTTGTAAGAAGCAGTTACTGTTCCTAAGTGGGAAAAAAGTATGGTATGAGACCTAGAAAGATATTCAAGAGCATTTTAATTGATCCCCTTTCTCTGGTGAAGTAGGAAGGTGACACATAATTATTTTTCCCTGAAGCATCATTAATAATCTAGGCTTCTGATGAAACTTTATTTAAATAAACAGTGTTTTGAAGCAGACTTTTTTTTGTTACATATATACTGTCCCTAGTTCCCTCGAGCTTTAACCATCTTACATCAGCTTATTAGCAACAATTAAAGCAATTTATATCTTTTTAAAGATCAGAAATAATGCTCTGCAGCATTCTCAGATGCAAGGGAAGAAGCGTCCAGTCTTGACTGACTCTTAGGATGGTCAGTTCAAAATGAAAGGATGAGCAGGATGCCCAGTAATTCTAGCCCAGTAATTCAATTCTTTTATTTATTTATTTTTCCCAGAGCTAGTACTGGGTTGAGTTCTGAAGAAAATACTTTAATGAACTTTTATGTGTCCACGGAGAGCCTTTCCATGGCCAAAACAGTAGCACCTGCTGAAGGCAGAAAAATGTCTTTTCCATTTCATTGCCATTTATAGAAAGAAGAGGCGTATCTGTGCCATCTCTTGTGTTCTGGTGAGCTAGCTGGAGGTATCAATGTGGCCTATTGCTGCTTGCTCTCCTACTTTCATGACCCTGAAACTTAGCAAGAAGCAGAGAGCATGTTCATTTTTCTTTCCCTGTGAATAGGGCCTTTTTTGTTTCTTCAGTGAAGAACTTCTGCTAGTTGTCAACATAGCATAAATTCAGCAGAAACCTGGCAGAAATATACACCAGTCTAACTACCATTATTGTGATTTAAACTGATGACTGAAGAATTGTAATGAGCACAGCTCTACTGAATAGTTCTGCCACTTTTAATGATCTCACCAGACTCGCAAAAGTCTGAGCTGGTATAATAAATGGAAACAAGAATTTCATCTTATTCTTGTAGCTGTGTTCTGATTACTTCATAGAAAGTCTGGGGGAAAATGGTATCTATCCTACATGCTACTGCAGTGCAATATTAAATGATTGCTGTTTTCAGTCTATGTGTACCTCAAGTGCATTGAGCCTCCAAGCACAATGGCAAACAGACATGTTAAGTAGTTTCTGCAGATAGTTTCTGCTTTGCAAAAGCTTCCTCAATCCAACATCTCTTCTTACCGGGGACAAGAAATAAAAAGGAATGCGATGGAATACAGTAAAATGCACTGCACTCTCAGCCAACCAATTTTCCTTAATCTTACTTGAATCTTTTTTCTTGGAGGGTGGGAGGGGAAAGAGAAAGGAATGTACGTGTTCAGTGTTGAGATGCAGCTTTCATGTGCTCTGTAGTGCTGAAACAGTCCTCTGATATGTGATCAGGAATGTTATGTTGGACTTGACGATGCTCATGGGTCCCTTCCAACTCAGGATATTCTTTGAAAGTGGGATTTTCTCAACAGTTATTGAGAGCTAAAAGTGTTGGGTTTTTTCATCTAGAACGTCTGTATCACTGTTGTAAAAGTAAGAGATGCATGCTTACAAATTTCTTAAGACTTGCCCTCCTTTGCTGTTGAAACTCTGCGTAATTTAGAGCACATTGTTTTTACAGAATTTTAAAGATGGATTTAAATCTCAGAGGATTTAATCCTAATTTTTTTTTTTTTCCCCACTTCAGAGGTTCAACATGCTGTGAAGATTCCTGTTTTGATTGGATCTGGAGTTACTCTGGAGAATGTGAAGAATTACTTGGATGCAAATGCTCTAATAATTGGTTCGTATTTCAAGAGAGAAGGTTATTGGGTGAATGGTGTTGATCCTGACCGAGTGAAGAAATTTATGGAGCACATAAGTAAACTGAGAGAATGAGTTAGTCAGCAAGCACTATTTCCCTGTTTGTGTACATAAATGCAGCGTGATATATCATACAGAATTAAAGCACAAATGTGCACTTGAATGGCTGATAACTTTAAATGAAAACGCACATCATCTCTGCAACTGGCTGTGGAACATGGTGGCACTTTACGATGAGCTGGTGCTATGGTCTTTGTTTCTAGACCGTGTGTTTCTGTGGCACTCACAGCCATTGCCAAGACAAAACCAGCTCTCCAAATGTGTGTAGCATATTCTGTCCTATAAGTAAAGTGCTTACGGATTGCAGGATGAGCTGAGTTTTGTTTTGCATGTTAATACAATAGGACACCCTAAGTTTACAGCTAACAGTATTGTAAATTGGACAAGTTAATTAGCCTTTCAGTTTCCCCATCTGTAAAATGATGATAATAGTACCTACATCACAGGGGGGTTGTAAGACATAATGAATGGATGAACGTACAGCACTTTCATCTCCTCAAATGAAGGGCTCTATTAAAGTTCAAGATCATTATTTTTTCATTAGAATTGTGCATTTATTACAAAAATGTAGTAATTGTATACCATACAAAAATTTAAGATAATTGGGAAATTGATTTACCTACAATACTTATTAGGGAATAAATGTAAATATTTAATTACATTTTAAGTAGTGTTGGAATTTAGTCAAAATGCTTTCCAAAAAATTGGAAATTTTAATAAAGTCTTATTTTTCAGCAAGCTCCTTCAACTTTGTACTGCTTCAGACTAGCATTAGTGACATTACAAACTGCCAGGTTCCTTCCAGCACACAAAGTGTAATTATGATGGAATCATTTCTACCAGAACTGACAGGTAAACACAGATTTTCATTTTTTGCTGTAAAACGTAGAGAGAAAATGTGACAGACTAACTGTATACTGTAAGACTCCCCTTGAATTTGATCTTTTAGCTCTAAGGAAGTTTTTTAGAAACAACAACAACAAAGGATACCTGTTGTGTCACAGCTGTATAAACTGTGGACGTATGTTTTCATTCCTTGGGACTGTGAGCTACATTTGCCCTCTGGGATCTCTCACTTTCCTTGACATCTATGCATCAGGATTCTGCCAGTGCTTATGCAAGTTATATTGTACATATCAAAGCAAGCATACAAATGTATGGTTTTTTTCTGTCAGCTGGCAGAGCTCCCATGCTTCTCTGAACAAAACATCCTCCTTCAAAAGGCAAAGGAGATTTTCAGGAATCCTAGCTTCATTAATAGAATAGTGATTCCAAAACATCACAGCATGAGATTATCTTTTCCTCAGGTTCCTTTTTTCTGGACTAGCCTGTCTCCCACATGCCTCCCATCAAAAGCAGACAAATAACTGTGGTGAGCTGACCTCTAGAGAAGCGATTGTTTAGCCCCCATGGCAGCCTTGGCATTCTTCTGCTTATCTCCATTTTCCTCGTAAGTACGCTGACAAAGTTTCAGTGCATAGAAATTCTTCTAGGGGCGTCTTTATTGTGAGTGGCACCACTTCTTGAGTCCACATTTACACAGGCAATTTAATCTGCTGTGTTTGGACTTCCGTCAAAACTACTTGTCATAAAAAAAGGAGCATGCGTGGATGAGCCACTGGCACGAAGTAAAATTAAGGGAAAAAACAATGAAGAAAAAAAAAAGGTGAGGTCACCTCCAGCTCTCTCTCCCAGCTGCTGGTGTAGGCAGAGCACAAATAGTTGAGGATCACGGAAATGCTTTCTAAGTTCTTTTCTCCACACACTCATTCATTCTCAGCATATTCTGAGGTATTTATCAGGTCAGTCAATGATCTCATTTAACATCTAAGTTGTTTGAGTTCCATCCTATGCCCTCTTTATTGAGGAGAATTATCATGCTAAATAAAATAACTTAGGTCTTAGTGACATCAGTATGCTTAGATTAGCACACTTTCACCTTTCTGTGATAAGCACTGTTAGGGTTTTCATAGTTTTCATTGTTTCACAGAAGATGTAGTGGTGTTTGGGCCAAAAAATATTTTCTGTTGTTGATAACCTCGGAAGTTGTTTTCAGTAAATTCGTAAGCTAGGAAGGCTGACATGAGCAAACATTTGCACGTACTCAGGTGAAAACTACGGGCGGTATTACTGTTTAGTGATAATTATATGTGAGGAATGGAATGCCGTTGCCACAAGTCACATTAATTACTGTATGAAAATATAACGTGCTACCACCACGTTGAGTTGGCTTGTACTCATTCTTGTCTTACAAACCAGAAGCGATTGTGACTTTGAGGGGCTTTTCATTCCTAAAGGGTAAGGGAGAACTACTTTGTTTAGACCTCGCATGCAGCACAGAAGTACTGCTGTACATGGTCTTTGTATGAGGAAAGCCTAGTGTATTTGTGACATACACATAACACATCCTAGTACTACAGGCAGTCCTTGCACCGTCAGTACTTCATTTCACACTGTGTAACACTTAGAGGACAGGCAGTGAGTTGGACTTGTGTTATTACAGATAAACTCTAAATGCAAAACGTAGGGACTGCAGGCAAGGAAAGCCGGTTTGAAAGCCTGGAAATGTGATTGATCACCAGCTCTCTATCATTCTTTGTGCTGAAAGTATTTGTCTGGCAGCATTAAGCATCTGCTTGCTTGTTTCACACAGATGCTGTAAGTAGAATTTGACCTTTTGTTCGGAAAGTGTTTGAATGTTTAATGTAAAAAATATGAAGTTATCAGAAAGGCTGCCTCTTTTGGGAAGAGTGTTCAATTTTTATACAGCCCGAGTTCTTAAAGCACTTTGGAGCATGAATAACTTCAGAGCAGAACAAAGAAGGCAGCGCTAATGTGTAGAAACTCCAGAAGTAAATAACAGCTGTTCAAGAAGACTTCTATTAAATATGTATTAATTAATTTGAAGTGCATCACTTAAATGTGTGAAGAGATTATCTTGTGTTAATTTACATTAAAACACACAGCACTTCTTAGCCTCATTACTGTATCCTAAGTGTATCCTAAGCTATCACCTCATTCCATACTGAACATTTTGTTGGGTTTTGATTGCTTTCGATTTGCCCTTTTAAAATGTCAGATAGTGGCCTCTTTCTTGATGGTTCTCTTCTTTCTCATGCATTTTATTCTTTCATGGTTACTTTGTGTACTTGTGTCCATTATGTGATTAACAGAAAGATCATGAAAGTGTATCAGTGACCACTCACAGCTCAGTTCCTTGATGTGTCCACCTGAACTTTGTGTGTGGTTTTCACTGTTGACTTGTGAACCAGAAGGAAGAATACAAAGGTATTAATGTGATACCTTTAGTATTACCTCTAGTAAAGGAAAGACACCTAGAAAAAATGGGATTTCTTTAGTGAAGTTACAGAGATATAAAACTTGCTGATAATAATAATAGACTTTGTGATCTAAATCAATCTATAAATCTCATTCCATTCATAACACCAAAGTGTTTTATCCTACAGGGTAACTTGAAGAGCTGCGATTCTGGACAGCCACACTAGCTTAAAAAGCCTATCTCCTAATTCTGGGTTTAAACTTCTGAGCTTTACCTTTGTCATCCTACTTCTGACTCCCATGAGAAAGTACTAGTTAGCCCACAGCATTTCATAGCAGTTCTTGTTCCTGCACCTATTGTAGCAGACTCATTGCTGAGAGAAAACTGAAGAATAGAAAGGAATTGCAGGCTGGTTGTGGCAGAGCAGGAAAGGGGAAGGAAACTAGAATACCTGGCTGTAGCAAAATCTTGAAGTCCATGACAAATTATTACAGAGCATGATTCTCTTGAGAGAAGTGAATGGGGATGTTTATCCCTCTTGACTGTAGTTCCAGGTTGTTTGCAGCCTCTTCAGTTAAGACTTCATGAGTTTGCACCTGGGTTATGTTTCCAGGATCATGTCTGTTTGTATGTGTGCTTAGGGAGACATCTTTTGCTAAATGAAAGCTGCAGTTTAGCAGGATAATTATGGCAATAGGGATGATATCTGTAGCAAAATCCAGGCTTGGAATTTGCAGTTCCTTGCTTTAGGAGCAGATTTAGAGACAGTGTGTGTGTCCTAAAAAAGAAACAAAAAAAAAAACACAACTGAAAGCAAAGATTTGCATTAGAGAAACTTCATTTTCTGCACTCTTGCCCTAACAACCAGGCAGTGTATGAGGGATTGAAGCCATTTCTACTCTATAAACTAGAGAGAGAATTGTTTTTAGCTTGTGTGGTTCTATAAGCATGACATCCTGGAGCTGGCTTTGAATGCATGATAGAGACAAAGAACTGGTACTTAGATGTTGAGCTTAGAAACAGAACTGCCTGGTTTTGTTTTGTTTTTGTTTTGTTCTTTTGCATTTGCAATGACAATCTTTGAAGCCTAAATGTTCAGAAAGGGTGGAAAAATTGGACTGAGATATTCTTTTTGTGGCCTAATGAGCCATGGTGCGTAGTGGAACTGAACCGCCTTGCTCCACTCTGTAGCCCCTGCTGCAGAAGTACTATCAGAACTTAAAATCCTTCCAATAAGTGCTGAGCTGGATTTCCTCCATAGAGATATCAGGGGAAGTTACCCAATTAATTCCTTGCTTTTATAAGAAGCACTGCTTTTACTGGAGCCTGCAAGAAATTGTGATATGGAACTTCTCTCCATTTTTTCCCACTCTTGAATGCTTATTTGAATTTAGAAAACCATTGCTCCTTCCTATCAGCCTGTGTAGATCTGCAGTAAAAAGACACCACAGAGGCAGCTGTGACACGAGTCAGGCCAGAAGATCTGTAGTTAAATGTTGAAGCTAATAAATGCTTTTTACCTGAAGTCTTCATTGCACAGATAATTTTAGAGGAGGGGAAATTTCTGCAAATAGGAAAACCCCTCACAAGAGGCAAAAGAGCTACAACTCTCAACCTGATTTGCTTCTTTTCCATATTATTTGAAGCTTTAGAAGGTAAAGAAACAAGAATGTTTCTTGTTAAATAGTTCAGAGTGGGAAAGAGCGTGAAGGTAGTTTCCTTGATTAAAAATCTATTGATTCTTTTAACAGGCAGGTTTCTTTCAATATGTCAGCAGATGATTTTGCTGAATTGGGCTAAAACTACTACTTCTTTCCTGTCACTGTCAGGTTCTCATTGTTTTGCAATGTAAATGCAGTGTTGGACAGCAAGCCTTATGCTTTGATTTCTTTTTCCAGAGGACTTTACTATCTCTGAAATGAATGGCAGAGAGATGGTGCTTGTTTGAAGGAAATGTTTGGTTCCTGTGTGCTCCTCTTCTAATAAACACATTCTGCTGTAGCTGTGTAATACATGATTTTTTATTTTTTTTTTAAAAAGAAGTGTGGATTAGAATTAGTACCAGGAGGAGCAGAAGCAACTTCCACTTTGCCTGTTAACCAGAGATCTTGAATCCTTCCCCATCTTTGATTTCCTTTTGGTATCTTAAAATGCGTATGAAACTTCTGTTTTTGTCTTGCTATCAGTAAAGGGAGATGGAATCTAATGTAGGTGGTAAAAGCTGGTGAACCTGCTGATATTTCAGACCTTCTTATTGTTT